ACATTTACACATAAAAATTGTCAAGGTATATTAGTTTTAATATGCATGTAATTTCTTAAATTGTTCAAAATACAAATAGTTAGATTAACCCCCCTCCCCCACCCCACCCTCCACATACATATATAATCAATTCAATTAAGATCGCAAACGTCATGTAATGATATATTTGCCTTTTTAATTAGTAAATGTTAAATAACTCACATTTCAAATTTGTATTGAATTTATTTAGTAACAAACAACTCTCTCTAAATAATTGGTAAGCTAATTTATTTAAATAAATTTACTAGTACAAATATAAAACATAAAATCAAGAAAATAAACAAAATAATTAAAATGATTTGAGGGATATTTTTATCTTTACATAGACTTATCCCATGGAATTATATCTTATGTATTACTAATACCTCCAAATGGAAGGTATTAGTAATACATCCTATAATACCTTGTAGGATGTATTATACATAGGCTCAAATTTCTACCAAACATAGTACTAAGTAGGCGTTTGGCCATGAGATACCATATCACGATATGGAATCAGCGTTTGGACATGCGATTTTACATTGATTCCATCTCATGATTCCATATCATGAGATGTGATTTCATTTTCTCCAAAAACCATGATATGAGAATTCCATATCATGATTTGAGATACTTTTAATACAAAAATTGATCCACAAGTTTATATTTTGTTAAAACAACCCTACATTTATATCTACTAACCATTTATTTTATATGTAAATAAAATTTATAATGACATCATAAAATTTTAAAATGTATTATTCCGACATAAAATTTATTATTCTCACCAACATATAATCACTTTAACTCACACCAACCGATTGTTGAGTAATATTAAAGACTAGTACACTACAATTTATGTTCAATTTTTTTATTCAATTAAAGTTTGATGAATTAAAGTTAGATGAAAGAGTTACTTAAGTGGAGAACAAATAGCTTTGTAATAATTTATTATGCGATTTTATAATATTTTGTTTATTTGGTAAGATTGAATAAACAATTGAGGCTATTTTAATAGTTTTACAACTTATGAGATCCTTATGTTTATGAGAAAATATACAACACAAAAATTTTATATCGCATGTCCAAACAAAACTTCAATTTCATCTCATAATTCCATATTATGATATCATATCATGATTCCATATCATGATACCATATCGCATGGCCAAACGGGCCCTAATAATACCATACATAATACATGGACTATTTTTTAAAATGCGACCTACTGAACGATCCCTAAATGTTTCTTCATCTTGCTAAATCCGAAAGCAAAAAATAGTTAATTTGTTAAATTGAAGTGGCACATATAAATTTAAAAATATAGTTTAATATAGCTATGAATCAAATGGAAGTTCACTTCTTGCGAATTGTGTGGTAAAAATGTGTTATCACGCCTAAAAGGTAACCTTCGTGTATGAGCGAAGTGTTGTTGATCGGTCAAAATTTTCATACATTCAAAATATGAGAGTAGATGAAATGAGGATGTTTAGATAAATATGTAGGTATATTAGGAGAGATAGGATCAGGAACAAAGCTATTTAGGACAAAGTGGGTATGGCACCGGCCTCTGTGGTGGACAAGACGAGGAAAGCAAGATTATAATGGTTCAGACAAGTGAAAAAATCTTGGAGAATTACACGGATTATGTTATTATTGTTGTGACGACTATCATTAATATAGAATTAGTTTGATATTAAATGGTCCTTTAAGAAGTTGTTGTCACTTTAATATCCAAGCCCACTACCCATGTTCTTATAAGTCATCATTTGATGCCATATCATTATCACTCCAAAATTCTCCCAACGTTTTTTTGGCCACATGATGCAAGTGCTAATACTTTTTGCTATTTATCATCCGGAATCTTATTACTCATATTTTAACTCATGATCATTACCTCTTTTGCTTGAAATATATATCATGTTAAAATTCAGCTCTCATTGTTTTTGTTTTATAATTTGTCAAAGAACAATATGTTTTAAAATAATACTTTTGGGCTTTAATTAAGTGAAGTAATTGGAGACTATTATATATAAATTGTGTTTTACTTAATGAAATCGAATCGTCTTGTAGGACGATAACAGATTTGGACTTCTTCAAATTGAGAATCTTTTTTTTATATTGTAATGCATTATTATTCACAATGTAGTTATTATAAGAAATGTTAATTAGGGAAGATCATTCTTTTTGCTAGTTTTTATAGTTTCTTAATTTATGTAAGTTTTCTCATAGGTAACAATTGACCAAACCATATAATAATATTCTCTTTTGATATATTTTTCTTTTGTTTAAGATTTATCATCTTTCAAGGTTTATTTTGTTAGCTTTGATATTATGCTTTGTCATTTCGATCTCAACACTTTGCATAAGTAATGAGGGACAAGTGCACTCTCTCAAATACGATTTTGACCCGTGATCAAGTGATGTTTCAAGCACAATCTAAATAAAAATCAAATGGAGGCCTTACAATTTAAAAATAAATTAATTTATTTTCTTATGAAGCTTATTCTTCTATCTCTTTGAATGGAATTGTTAATTCTTTTTATAATCAATTTCTTCTAATAATTCTTTTCAATGGATAATATCATCAATCAATTTAATCCTTACTCCGGCGGCGTAAAACTTCTTCTAATAATTGTTTCTTTTTATATGAAAAATATATACTTTTTAATAAGTAGTACTTCCTCAATAGTATTTTCTTTTTCTAAAAGAAAAAATTATTACTATATATAAAATAATTTTTTTTTAAAAAAGAGGCCCCTCCAAATTGGAACACCTTTTTTTTTTTCTTTTTACTTGAGGAAGTTGAATTGACTAGCTTGACAAAAGTAGAGAGAAAACAATATATTTGCGTATTTTTTGGCATAATTGTCATATATTTGCGGAGTAGTATTCGACCCCCCCCCCCCCCCCCCCCCGAAAAAGTCTTATTCACAATGACAAGTGTATCTTTTGACATAATTGTCATATATTTGCGGAGTAGTATTTGCTTCGTCTTCTTTTTTCTTTTGGGTTACAAGTTGAAGAAATATTCCCCATGTTTTAATTTATATTTTAATTTGTATGATTTTGAGAGTTAATCTTTTTACTTTTGATCATAAATTAGAACATAAAATTTTTAAGTTTTTCCAAATAAATTAGTTACATATTTAAAAACCTACTTAAAAGGAAATATTATAAGTCACAAAAACTGATAATTCTATATATTTAAAACACATAAAACTACAATAAAAGAAAAATCTATTTAGCTTTTGAATCAACTCCCTTTATTCGGCTTTCGAAGTAATTCCTTAAAGGATCACTTGGTAGTTGGATAAGAAACAAGTTATTCACCAAAGTATTAATTTTCGTATAACTTATACGATGTTTGATAGGTAAATAAAAATATGTTAATTCATGCATAAAATTGACAATGTTTGGTTGATAATTCAGAAACCCCCATAACCAAGACATGCATATGTTATGAGAGAAGTGATGTATTATTTTATATAGAATATATAGAAAGTAAAATAATTAATACATATGTATAATATACTAATCCATGCATATATTAAACAACACATAAATTAATTTATATTTGATTCTTATTTATTAATATATAGACCAAACAGTAGGTGATGACTGACTAGTCAACCTGAAGTCTCCGAGAATTGGAGTTTTTTGTATTTTGTATGTATAATGACATTTGTTGGGACCTATAGCAAGCCAATGCCTTTAATAAGTGGGACATATGTATAATCTAATATACTAATCCATGCATATATTAAACAACACATAAATTAATTTATATTTGATTCTTATTTATTAATATATATACTCCCTCCGTCCCTTTTTAGTTGTCCACTTTTGAAATGGCACACAAATTAAGGCAACAATGATTAGCACAGTGAAGTTACAATTTTACCCTTATGACAACTTTTCACTTCAAAATTACAACCACTTATTTGAATTAAAGTGAAATAAATTGGAGGGAAACAACATACACTTTTACAATTTTCAAGAAGTGTAAATAAGGGTATAATAGGAAAAAATTTGTTGTCCTTTCTTGATTTGTCAAAATGGACAACTAAATAGGGACAACTAAAAAAGGAAATATGAACAAGTAAATAGGGACGGAGGGAGTATAACTCAAACCGATTATTGAGACCAAACAGTAGGTGATGACTAGTCAACCTGAAGTCTCCGAGAATTGGAGTTTTTTGTATTTTGTATGTATAATGACATTTGTTGGGACCTATAGCAAGCCAATGCCTTTAATAAGTGGGAAACTTTTCATCCAACCGGTCACAGGTTATCTTTTAGTACTGCCGACACTATAGTTTGCAAATTGCCAGAAATTCTTGGGGCCTTACAATATTAATCTACCTCCTTTGCAAATAATAAATAGACTAGTACAACTACCAACAAGGCCACGCGAAGATATATCTTCTTCGAAAAATTAAATTGCATATATATACATTAATAAAAGGAGGAAATTTGGCAAGGATCAATTAAAAATAATCTCTATATATCTTGTAAGGACAGGAATGAGACAAAGAGCACTTAAGAGTCCTAAATATGAAATTAGTCAACAAAATGATGAAAAAAAGAATATTATTACTATATCAAAAAAGTAACTTAATTGCCACTGAATATGTATTTTTAGTAGCAATTAACACTCTTTGTAAATCTCTTTCAAGTCTATAACGATGTTGTATCTAATGACAAATAACTAATTAATATCCATAAAAAATTTAGTGCTCTTTATTAATATATATATTACCTGTTTTTATTATGCTATTAACTTTCCTACTGGCTGCAAAATGACTTTATGTTAAATCAATATGGCTGCTGATACTCATTTAACATTAAAATATCAACACCATTATTGGATAACTTTCCTACTGGCAGGGGATGATCATAGCAGTCTCAGTAGGAACTTTTTATGGTTATATAAGCTAATAACATCTTCCCCTGTCCCTTCAAAAGAAGAGTAGCAAAACATGAGTGCAAGAAACTTTATTTCAACAGCTCAATTATTAGTAATACTCATCTTCTTTATCTCCTCATTCTTCCATGTAAATGCCTTAACTTCATCTGTCAAAAATGGCAGAGAAGCCATAGAAGTCATAATTGGTGGAGGAGGAGATGTCCCTCCCATTGCTCCTGCTTATCCTCCATATTCATATTCTCCTCCTCCACAAGAACCACTTTGCCCTCTTCCTCCCCCTCCTCCAGAACCACTTTGTCCCCCTCCCATGCCCCCACCTCCTCCTCCTGAGCCACTTTGTCCCCCTCCCATGTCACCCCCACCACCACCACCCCCAATAATTCCAAATCCTCCCAAACTATCTCCACCCCCACCCCCACCCAACCCCAATTATCTACTAGCATCAGCCATAAGTGTCATTCAAAGATTTAGGAAGACAATAACTAGTGACCCCTCTGGCATTACAAAAACATGGGTAGGCAAGGACATTTGCAAAGACCCAACCAAGTATATAGGTTTCATTTGCAACAATAACAAAGTGGTTGCTGTCAATTTCAATGGTAGAAACTTTAAGGGAAATCCTCTGTCTCTGAAAGATTTCATTAATGGAATCCCCACTCTGGAAATCTTCCATTCCAACTCTAACAACTTCACTGGAGAAATACCCAATAATATATCGACCCAGAGTATTCCTAATCTTTTCGAACTTGATTTGAGCAACAACAAATATGTTGGTTTTTTTCCAAAAGCTGTTCTTGGTGCCACCAGGTTAACTTATTTGGATCTCAGATTCAACCAGATAAAAGGTCCAGTAAACCCTCAAGTATTCACACTGGACCTTGATATTCTTTTTCTCAACAACAATTGTTTTTCCGGGAAAATCCCAGAAAATTTAGGCCGTACTGCTGCCCTGTATCTTACATTAGCCAACAATAAATTCATTGGTGAAATCCCCAAAAGCATTGGTCATGCCAAGGGAAACCTCCTTGAGGTTCTCTTCTTCAATAATCAACTTACTGGTTGCTTGCCTTATGAGATAGGCATGTTGAAATTGGCATCTGTATTTGATGCTAGTAAGAATAAATTAACAGGTCCGATCCCGCAATCTTTCGGGTGCCTTGAGCAAATGGAAGTGATGGATCTGTCTTACAATCAATTGTATGGGGAAGTGCCGGAAACATTGTGCAAGATCAGTAGCTTGGAGGAACTCACTTTGAAATACAACTATTTCACACAGATTGGACCGGAATGTCGGAAGTTGGTAAAGGAGAATGTACTTGATATTGGCATGAATTGCATTATTGATCTTGAGAACCAGAGAAAGCCGGAGGAATGCGAAACTTTCTTTTTGCAAAAGAGAAATTGCCGGGACATGAAGTCACTAAGCTATGTACCTTGTAAGATTCATGACTTCTCTTCTAGGAAGAGTTCTTCTCATACCGGCGATGCAAGGACTCGTTCGACTACTTATGCTGCCCTCAAGAAACCTCACCACTGATTTATCCACCATTTATAATTTTCATAATTATAATAGCAATGTATGTTACAACACTGTTGACTTATATTTACTTGTTTTATGTATTGAATTTGTAAGTAATGAGTATAATTAAGCTTCAGTCTTTTGGAGCAAGCTGTTGCGTCAATTAGATTAAGAAAATAACATGATCTTTACTCTTTAGGAATTAGGATCATCTGCTCTTTATCCGTGATTTCGTTTTTGCAGAGAACAAGCATCAGATAAAAAGAATTAGGAAGTAATCTTGTACATAAAGACATGAATTCCTGAATTTAGATCAAAAGGGAATTTTAGAAATTCAATTCGAGCATTAGATTTCATCTTCCATGATGGCATCATAACTGCAAATAAATAATAATGACAAAAGAGATCGTCCATATTATGGAATACTCATCCCATCTGGACATGTTTTCATAATTTCAAGGCAACAAAGTTAATGCATTAAAACATTTAATGCTTTAATTTAGCAGCCATACTGTGTATTCAACTTCTATCTACTTCTCTGAGTATGAATTTTCAAAGCTTGCTGATACCTGAGAAAATAAGAGGAGACAGAATAAAGCGTTCATAATAACTACATTTATTGTCTGTTCTTGATTCACCACACTTCCATTGTAGTCTTTGATTAGATATTGTTAATTTCTCTAGAACTATAGTACTATTATTTTATTAGATCATCGAATCCATAGCCATGACTAATACTAAGCACAGAATTTAACCTCATATCTCCGGACAGTTATATATGAGACAACGTAACATTTCATAAAATACATTCGATAAAAGAAAAATACTTAGTTCTGTATACAACTAGCTGCAGTAAATGTGCATAGACTTTGACAGAAGTAGTTGCATTATCATTTAAAGGAGAATTCATTAAGCAAAGCCAGAAAGAAAAATAGAAAGAGAGTTATTTAATTTTTGTACCTGTCCCCTGAACACTGGACCCTCCCTCCTTTCCTCTAGCATAATAAATTCAAAATTCCACACATCTTTAAATTATGAAAATCACCTTATGACACAATTAATACATTGATGTTGGGACCAAGAAGAAGTTGCTACTGGTACCAAATTATATATGGTTGCGACAGAACGTATAGCTGTTGGGATCCATTCTTCCTATAACGAAATGTCCCAACATATCCTTCGAATTCACCAAATTCTCTTTACATAAGAACTCTTCACTTGTAATTCTATCCACTTTTTGATTAAAATCATGCACAAAAACATGTGTTTTCGGATTGCCACACTTCTTGCTCCGCGCCAGTACTCCAGCCGTAAAAATAGCTGACATTCTACCGGGTGCCTCTGGCCAGTACCCTCTTGGTCCATCAACCAAAATAACATCCCAATTCACCTCATAGAATTGGTTAGGAAGATCATTTATCCCGAGTTTACACTCCGAAAACAACAAATTCTGCACCGGCTTACACTCATTCCGTATTTGTTCCTTCACTGCAGCAATCAACTCTTTCATTTCGCTCAATTTTGTTGTATACTGCACGTCGTAAGCTTCAATTTCAGGATATTTCTCCTCAATGTAAGCAGCGTAATATCTATTTTCGTCAATGAAAACTGTTCTGCCATTGTGATTCAACGCTTTCCATAGAAGTGTCTCGTGTGTAAGGCCGAAAACAAGGAGATTACAAGGCTGTTGACATTGTCGGAGAACATCAGCAATTTGTTTAATATCTGTATACGACATACGTTCAGTGTTGTTGGAATTTGATGCATAATGTGTAAGAGCCCTTACAACTGCTTTTGATAATGGAGGATTAGTTGAAGCAGTTATGGAAGAGACCGCGACGACAGAGGATGTGGTGAAGGATTCTCTAGTGTAAATAAGAGTAAGGAGGAATGCAATAGTGAGGAATGAAATAAATGCAAGAACCCATAAACGATACGAGGTTCCTTGTTTCTGGATATAAGGATGTAAGAGTATGAGTTTTGTGTTATTGCCAATATTGTTCTTCATCTTTGTGTCCTTGTTAGGATGATCAAAATGATATATATATATATTTATTTTTTTGTGAAAAGATTGAGTCAGAAATTTATGCAAAGTAGAATGGGCTTTAGTTAGGGAAGGGAGCTGAGCTTTAAAGAAATATGGACATGAGGATTGGCATGATAGTATTAGTGTATGTAGTTTTATATGACAAACACAATTTGAACAGTATTGATATAAGGAGTTAATATCGTATGAGCCGATGAGTCATTGATAAAAACAAATACTACACTTAATCTTAACCAAAAGGTCAAGAAAGGTATAATCTGTCTTTTAGAGGCGGAGTTAAGTGGGGGTTCGTGGGTTTGGATGAATCCAGTAGCTTTCCTGTGGATTCTGTATTTGTATTAGAAAATTAAATAAATATATATGTATATTAACTTGTGACCCCCCTAAAAAAGTTGATTGATGGCATAGTAGAACCTTCAAACTCTTAATCCTGGCTCCGTCTCTGTAATGTCTTTTGTTTTATATGGGTGTTTTGACATTTCTACAAGGTGAATATTTTTGTTTTCTATCATTTGTATTTTCTAAGCAGGAAATTTATCCTCTTGATCATTTGTATTTTACTAGCAATTCACACTTAGTTCAGTTATTTTAATATGACAAAACAAAAGTTTAATGATTTTATTTATAGCTAGTAATGTTTAATTACTTTAATTTGGCAAAAAAATATTTCGAGCCTTAGCTATAAAACGGATAAAATTAAATGATAATACGGGAAATAAAATTTATTTTAGATGAAGCAATAATTTTTGAGAGCTTCTAACTTAAAATTTTAAATGCATTGCAACTAAAGCAAACTGCAGGCTATCATGTTTTTTTGAATGAAGAAATTAGAGTCGCGCCAATATTGGATTAGAGCAGACGTAAAGCAAACTCTTATTGGCACAGTGAATTTGACTTGTTACACTTTCCTATTGACTATAATGGCTAGTATATGATTTCAGCATAATATATAAACATGCTCTTTTAACTTAATATTAACTGATATTTATATTTTTCAACTTTTATTACTCATAAGTAGACACTTAAATTTATATAAAGTTGAACAAGTAGACACACGTGTCCTACGTGCCAATTCACATGAGATACATTCGACTGATTTGTATCATGTCACATAGAATGTACGTGTCTATATGTTCAACTTTATACAAATTTAAATGTTTACGTCTGATTTGGCCAACTTAGAGATATATGTATTTTATCATATTTGGATAAAAAGAGTAGTTGGAAGACAGAGAAAGGTGGTGAGGAGAGAAGGAGAAAGGTATTTGGTAACTAATTTACAAGCAGCAAGTCGCTTTGCCTTGTGTATTCCATCTCTAATTCTCACGTTACCTCTATTCTTTTTTATAAAAAAGAAACTCATAAGATTTACCTTTGAAGGAGACGAATCAACTGCCTACTGATTCCATTTTGAGCCAAATAATTGTAAATACTCACAACTTACCTTGTATTTTAAAAACCAAAGGTAAAATTAGTTAACAAGCTTACTCCCGTCTCGACAAATATTAGTCCTTTTGACGAATAAAAGTTGTCTAAAAATATTCCATGTTTTGTAAAATAAAGTATTTACCACGGAAAATATTTCATGGAATTAGCTGAGATATGTATAAATTGGCGTGAAACATCACGAAAAAAAAAGGGGGCATTTATCACTTTTTCATTTTAACCCTTGCTGCTCCAATTAGTGGACGGACATACAAGGTGTAAGATTTTACTTGTTGGACATAAAAGCATGATATAGAGTGTTATATGCTTGTCCACTTCAAAACATGTGCTCTACAACCAAAATTTAGTACTAAAAAGTTGTGGGGTTCTTTCTAATGGTCCAAACTTTTTCCAGACCCATTGTCTTGTTATTTTCTCTTCAAAGTATGTCTATGTGGGCTAGTGCTTTTCGTCCTGTTTAATTTTTGAGATTTTGATATGATATACATAATTGAATCCGGTGGTATTCCAATTTCTGTTGAATCGGTTTGTATCTCAACTTTCGATAGATATACATATTGTAGATATCTTATTGACATTGATTCTTCACAATATGTAAATTCGAAAGTTTGTATAGTGCTTTACAATATGTATATCTATTACTATGCAACATGTATAACTGAATGTATACATGGTACTTCACAATATGACAAATAGATTCTTCAAAATTCGAATAGTTGGCAACACTACACTGCGATCAAATTCAATTTTGTTTTCACCAAGATATAGGGATTTGATAAAAATAGAGAGCTCACACAATACAAGGAGTCCAATAAACATAATCATGCATTCATTGATTTGACTATAGATATTTACTGTGAGTTGTTGAAGTATAGTGGAAACAATGTAGCCCATCCACGAACGGGTTCAACATATATATAGATATAAAGAATGAAGTGAAATTTCTTCAATAGACGGAAGATGTATAATATGTGTATAACTAGTGAATAATGTATGTATATTGGCTAGCGGCTATAAATATACTTTGGCTGCTGAGTGACCAAATATGTGGACCTTCCCCAAAAATGAAAAACGCAAGCAAAACATTTTATCCAATCAAAAAGTGTTTAGCTCCCTAATTCAAAGAAGCCTCCTTTTCAATGTCCACCTAAAATAAAACTCCTTCCAATTACAAACAAATGATATGTTCTTCTGTGGCTCATACCTGGCTGTGACGAGTTTTGACTCGCAAATATTTTTCATGGAGCCGTGGAACTGTATTAACTACAAAATAAACTATGTATATCTTGCACATTGAGGAAGGTTCATTTTCATCTTCTAAACTTTTACATAAATATCCTAGGTTCGACTAGTTGGCAAATCCTGCTAATGTAAGTTTGACTGTCTTATGTCACCCCTCCTCTTAGGGAAATGAAGAACGAATGATTCTATGTTTCTCCAACTGAACTGCATCTATGCACGTTTACTGCTGAATCCCAATTGATTACTGTTGGCCTTCCATTTCCATGATCCGTTTTATATGAAGGGCAGCTCTCACAACATTTCCCCTTGTTATTATTCCCACCTTCATTATATGACAATTCACTATTTAGCATATCACAAGGTAGAGAAGTACATATGCACAAAAGCTAAGTCTCTGAATCTTACCAGCTTTCCATCACTATCTACAACAGGAAGCCGGCGATATTTTGTTTTGAGCAGAAGTCTGACAAATTAGACAAGTACAAATGAGATAAAACTGTTTGCTGCCTCGTCCTACTATGCAATAGAAACATAAAATTGGCTAAAGGAAGAACGCAGATTAAGAATAAATGATACTACCTTGCTGCATCCTCGAGATTGGTAGACTCCCTAACTACTAGTGGAGCAGGTGTCATCAAATCACCAACCACTTTCCCCTTGGTCTTACTTATCAACTTTTGAACCTCATTGAATGTCTGCATTTACAAGTCAAGTTGGATGTGTCAGAACGTCAATAGCTTTGTTTGTGGGGTCACAACAATTTTGGTTTTCCATACACAATTAAGTGCGTTTTCATAGCTCCGACATACAGCAAAGAAAATGTCCTCGAGTTGAGGAAGGTAATCAGGTAACCATGTGTGCAAGTATTAGAGTAATGCAGATGATAATTAACACAAACACTGCCACCTGCACTAGTTCAGCATGGAAAAAGTAAATGCATTCAACTGTTCCAAAAGTTTCCTAAAGTAACGTGGAAATAAGAAGTCTACTAATTGATAAGGAGAACGACGGATGGTTCAGCATTGGAAGGAATATCTAGTTAGAAACATGCCATGCTAAGTACGATGAAATCCAAAACCATATCACTTAAAAATACATAATCGTTGTGGTTCAAAAGCCACCTCAAACAATGCCCTGTAGGCTCTACAGACTCACACAAGCAGTCTGTGTTGCCTGTTTTTGCAGGATGCATTTCCTATGTTCTTTTCTTGATCAATTAATTAAAGGTTTGTTTTTAGTAGCTTGTGCAATCAGACGGAGTATAACACAATGTTATTAAGATTTGTGCCGCAGTGTAGTGTCCAATGCAACTTTCACTTGCTATTAAAGTAAATGAAAATGCCTGTAAATTGTTCAAGTCCACGGTTTTCATTTGGCCTTTTCCCCCTCTCTTTGCAATGCCTTTTATCTCTCAAACTATAAAATAATTTGTCTGGATGCTTTCTTTGAGAAGGAAAAAATGCAACTTGTTATAGATTTGTGTAACAGGATCAGATTGGCTGAATTTGCATATTGTGGAAGTTTGGTTTAAATTCGATTGATAGCTCAAACCTAACTAATCATTGACCTAGCGGCTAGCATTTCTATTCACCGGGTATAAGAACAGATCTGATTATAACATGTTGCTTGACCCATGAACCCATCCAAATCTATTCCCAGGTGCCAAATTCCCAACAGCTTAAGGATGGCTTCCTCAAAATGCTTGTCCAAGTGAAACTGGAAATTCTCCAAATACTAACTCGAACACTTAAGTGATCTTTACTGATGCTCTTGGTTTGCACTTAGTTATAAGCAATTGCAAAAACAAGAAACAATTACGTTCTATCAATATGTTCATAGTAAATATCCGGCTCACAAAGCTGGTTCTATCGTTCCTACAACTGGAATCCAATGTCATCCCAGCATAATTGATAGAAGCTAATGATTAGCTTCCACATTTACTCACAGAGAAAAGGAAGGAACAGTTGATCACTAAACACTATACTTGTTAATGATTTAAAAAACTCGTGATCAGTACTTTTGTCCATATGAAGTTTCTTGGAAGAGTAAAGGTCTAAACTCTTTAAGTCCTGTTTATAAATAGAACCACTACAAATAGTGCAGCAGGTTACATGAAGAGTTGGAGAAGTAAAACAATCATGAGGTTGTCCACAATCTTGGTCATCAATCACTTTCTTTTGAGTTCCTATACATTGGAGGCTAGATCCTCTTTAGGGGACAACTATACCACTTATGATATCAATAATTAAGCATGTCAAAGATTTAACGATAAAAGTTGTTCTCTCCCCAGT